TCTGTGTCCCCATTTTCCCAAAAGAGTAGTGTGCTTTCTCTCTCTCAGCATATCAAACATCCACTCGGCCAGAAATAAAATCACTATATCTCAATATAAAAATAGGTGGTAATAATTCATGCTTAAAGTATCTGTGGTTTAAAATTAAAACCTTTCAAATCAATATTGTGACTTGGAGATTTTTTTTTACTACTTCAGTAACATTTCTTCCTTGAGAGGGTGGGGAGGCCCTGGCACAGGTTGCCCAGAGAAGCTGTGGCTGCCCCATCCCTGGAAGTGTCCAAGGCCAGGTTGGACGGGGCTTGGAGCAACCTGGGTAGTGGAAGGTGCCCCTGCCTGTGGCAGGGGGTGGACTGGATGGGCTTTAGGGTCCCTTCCAGCCCAAACCATTCTGTGACTCCACAATTCTAACACAGTTCTGGAGTTCAATTGGTTCAACCAGTTCAGTGACCTCCCAGTCACACCTGATATTTTTAATGTGGAAAAAATTCTGTGCAATCCTCACGCCTTTTAAAAGCTGCAATCTGCAAAAAAATACACCTTCTCCTGCTATCCAGGTTACATCCCATCCTCCTGTCCAAAGGCTCACCAGGTGGGAAAAGTGACCCCAAGGAAAAATTGCTGGTCTTACTTCTCCCACCTTTCCCTCCCAGCACATTCTTTCTGCTCTTCCCCTTCCATCAAAACCAGGTGACTTCTGCACATCCCATGAAGGCAGCAGGAACAAAGGTGCACTTCCCAAGGTTTACAGTGGGAAATCTCAACAGGAAAAGGGGGAGACAGAGGAGATCCCTGACATACCACACTCATGGAAGACAGATGCAGGTATTTTGTGCCCAAATCTCAAGAGAGATGCCTCTTCCATGCACAGACCTGCACATCAGGCAGGGTTTATTTCCCAAACTCCTTGGCTTCTTCAAGCAAGGTGACCACAAACTGCCAAGGTTTGTTCCCTCACTGAGCCCTTTCAACGTGCAGGGGGTTGGGGGGAATTAATAAAACTTTCACTGACAGTAAAAAAAAAAAACAACAAACCACCCACTTGTTTTTCTTCCATGAATGAATTGGCAAAAGCTCTTCCTGATGCTGGAGCACAGGAATGAACATGAGCACAGACGGGGGGGGGGCAGCTGTTTTGTCATCCGAAACCAGCACAGAGGAGCAGCTGACTGTGCCCAGTCACTGTATCCATCCTGGAACACTCCCTCACCCCCTCCCTGAGCCACCCCTGCCTGCACAGGAGCTGTACCTGCAGCCAGAAGGCAGCACACTCCAGCACAGGAACCCTGCACACAGCCACTGCCATGGACACCAGCTTCCCCAGCAGGGCCATCCTGCTGTCATCTGCCTTGTTCCCTTGGGGGCTGAACAGAGATGAAAAGATGATCTGCCGGACTGAGTCCTTGGTCTGCTCTTGGAAATAATTGCACATGATCTCAAGAAGCTGGAGTTCCTGAAGGGAGTTCAGTCTCTGAAAGAAAACAAAAGCAAAGCTGCAAAATACACTAGGGGTCTTGAAAAAGCAAGAAACAAGTGGAAAAGACAGGGGCAGTAAAGGCTGGGAGCCTCCTTCAGGTGTGAGGGACTCAGTCTTCAAGCATAGCACACACATTCAAGCTTTCTGAGCCACCACTGCATTTACCTGGTGACACTGAAAAGCTTTAGGTTGTATTTGAACACCTGGATACACAAGATTGGTGCTTGCTGCACCTGCAAGTGCTGCCCATGGACTGGGAGATGAGACTGACATTGCTGGGGTGAAAAATATTCTCTCCCTCTGCAAATAACAGCTCTGAGGACACTGCTGGGCAGCTGGCAGGGACACAGCTGGGCCCAGGAGCCCACCAGGCCCCAGGTCCATGCACCCCAATACTCACCAGCAGCTGTGGTTTCTCACTGCTGATCTCTGAGATCCCCATCCCACGCCCATCCAAAAAGCCTGGTAGGGCCCAGCTGCAGCACTGGGGGGCTGTGGGTGTTCCCAGGGCCCTCAAAGCCCACCACACCTCCTGAGAGCCCTGAATCCTGGCCAGCCCATGGGGGTCTTGTCAGCTACTGCCATCCCTGCCAAAAAACCCCTCAGTCACCAGCACCCCAGGGAGCCTGTGCTGTCCTTTTGGGGCCTGTCTTCAGCAGCAGCTCCTCAGGAACTCCATCCCTTTCTTCCAAAGCC